AGCTCCGTCAGACACATTTCTCTTGCAGGTTAGTCACTGAAATTACAAACTGAGTGAGTTTTTGTGTATCGAACTGCAAAAAAAAAGTGCTGCGTCTGAGTTCATGTGACTTCTCATCATACTTCTTGTAACTTTGCAGCACTGATAGTGAAATCTACACCGATTACGTCAACTGTCAGCCCTTCCGAGGCTCGCTCCGGGCCAGGAAAAGAAACCCTGGATTCACATTTATTTAGTTAATTTGAATTAAACTAAGTTTATACAGCAGATGTGCATGTTTGCCAACTGCCACTTTACAAGTCAGCACAATCTCAGCTCAGCCTTTCTGTCGGCTCGCTGGCCTGCCGGACTCTTTGTGAACCGGTTGAGCCTTTGCCATCTGTCAGACTGTATTATAGCGTATAGTCCCCTCTAGTAGCATGTAGTTTAGAAGTTTACAAGGATTTGTTTTTGGCTCCCATAAACAACAGGGAGCAACAGTTCTTTGCCATATTTAATACTATTTTACACAAAGTGAGGTGCAGTTTTCACATATAGCTTAAGACTTTTTTGCATTTTTTAAACTCTTACATGCAACAGGGAGGCTGTAAGCAATATTGAATGCACAAACGCAGCACTAAAAGCCACTTTGCTAACCTTTTTTCTGCTGCTTTTTCATGCAGCAGTGCCTGGCTCTTTTATGACACATGTTCTGCCTTAATCCTACTTGAGGGCGTGCATTTCTACTCCGCTGTGCAGCTTGTGTGCAGACAATAAAGTTGGAATGCAAACACAGTTTATGGCAGCGGACAAAGCAGAATGAAATCCTTATACACAAAAAAAAACACTAAATAAACTCACTGCTGTACTATTACACAAAGACACCCTTTAATCTTGAACTACATTTCCCAGAAATCTCTGTTTTTAAAAAAAAACCGCCATGAAACAATATAAACAAACATCACACCTTTAAAGAAATAGTAAAAAAATAATAATAAATAAAATAAAAGGCGTCTTCTGGTGCTATAACTGCTGGACGACAGGAAGCCCCGTGAGAGTGCAAAAACATATATATTTGTGTATAAATATATTAAAAAAGGGAATAAAAAGGGTTTAAAATGAGGCATCGCTCTGCAGGAAGCAGCCCCACGAGCTGCCTGATGTTTGAGCCAAACGACACTAACTAGCATGTCCGAGACCAGCTAACCACCTCAACCAGCTAACCGAACCGTTCAACTCCGCCAACCAGCCACGCCAGGAAACCCGAGCCGGAGCCAGTAAAGGCGGCTCGGTTCGTTCATTCACAGCGGATTTTGTTTTGTTTTTCTTTTTTTAATCACCAACATGTGCTGCTCGTAGTGAAGCTAAAGCGCAGCGATGCTAACAACAGACGCGCTAACAGGACGTGAAGGTAGTTTAGGTGATAACCGGGACCGTGATGGGGCAGATAGCCGCCATGAAGAGCCGCGAATCGGACGTGAATAACGGGTTAAACGCTGGAAACGTGCTGCTCGGGTTCAACACGCTCCGGCTAATAGCGCAGGTTCGCTCAGTTACCTTCATATTTACCGCAAAACGGCGGGGGGTGGAAAAAAAAAAAGCGACGCGCAAAATCCCCCGAAAACGAAGCTGATGTATAAATCACGTGACTTAACGGAGGTGAAATTAAAACGTTACCTGTTGTGATTCCCCGACGTTTAAAAGACTCTTCTTCTTTCTTTCTTTTTTTGTCTTTTTTTTTTTTTTCCTCCAAACGTGGACTTCTGTTTTTCCTCCTCCGGAAAAAATAAAACACGTCCCACTACCTCAGCCTCCAAAAATCTCAACCACAGTCCACACCGACGGTCTGGCCACGGCTCAAGGCAGACGTGTCCATCATCCCCGCAAGGCCCGCCCCGTACAGTGAAAAACATCTGTCGGCGGCCTCTCATTGGCTCGCCGGGATTACTGTATGAGATCCCGAGACGTGATTGGTCCAGCGCGTTGGAGGGAGGTTTAATGAGGATGTGGCGGGGCGAGTGAAGCGAGGCGGCGCCCCCTAGAGGCCACCTGTGGTCACTGCAGCATGTTGGTGGAGTATTGTTTATTGTTTGTTTAATTATATGAGTTTAATCTATTTAATTTCAGTAGCACAGTGTGTGTTATTGTGTGTTTTTATCTTTCATACAAGATCGTTTTTATATTAAGTAAAACATTTTTGAAACCACTTTTCACCTTGTATGAACATATATTTACATATTTTTTATTTCCTTATACTGTGTTTAACTGTGTTTGTGACCAATAAAGGCCTTAAACCTTGAATCATGGTTAATGAACTTTAAGTATTACTGTATCAGAATCAGAATCAGACATACTTGAGGGCAAATTGTTTGTGTTCATATGTCCTAAAAGTAGGAACATAAGTAGAAACAATATAAGCATAAATGTAAACCGTGCTTTTCCTAAGAAATTAAATTAAAATTAAATTAAGTGGAACAATATCTTTATAGATTTCTATGTACATGTTCTCTGCAGAGATGTTCTGCTGTTCTCCACAGATTTTTTTCTATCAGCTGCCCTCTGCTTGTGTTGCTCTATATTTTCTCTTTAAAACACCCCGAAGGTGTTCTGTTGGATTCAAATCAGGACACAAACTGTCCAGTTCACAGTTTCCACTTTGGTCTTCTTTAGAAACTCTTTAGAAACTGTTAAGTTCTGCAGACCAGGAGTCACGTTGTCAGACATTATTTTGGTTTATCCACAGATATTCGTGGAGCATCTACATGTTTTACATTCATGCAGCCCCATGTCATGATGCTGCCACCTCCGTGCGTCACTGTCAGGACCATGCATCCACTGTGGTGGTCCTGGTCAGGTTCACACCAAACATCTGGACTCCATCTGAGCCCAACACATTGATCTCCAACTGACCAAAGAATGTTCTCACAACATTCATGAGGCTTCTTTTTATGTTCCTTAGCCAAGTTTCATCTTGCAGTGTTGTACTGAAGAGCAATCAAGGGTTTAGTTCTTGTAATTCATCCATAGAGGCTGATGTTCTGAAGTGTCCTTCACACTGTGTGAGCTTCACACTAACTCTGGTCTCCATTGATCAGCCCTGTGCCAAGTCTGAAGCAGCTGCCTTTGTCTGGTGTCCACAGCTCCATAGTGACAGTAGTTGACTGTCCGTGGAGTCATTGTAGGAGGACGACCACTGCAGCCCTGATCAGTGCTACTATGGCTCCTTCTGGACCTCCTGGTTCCTGCTCACACTGTGGTTCCACTGATTTATAACTGATCATCCTGGATGCTTTTCTCACAATCAGGTTTTTCAGGTCCTCTGGCAATTTAATTTCAATGTGGAGCCATGATGTAAGCATGTGGATAGACACGGCACATAGGTCCAAAACAGAGAAAGTTCTGCTGTTCACAGCTCACTTTAGAACCTTGTTCATGCAGTTAGACTGACTGGACCTCACAGGTGGACTCAGGAGGTGGATTCACTTTGGTCACACTGAGTTTCTCCTTCAGAATTTTCAATATAGTCTTTCTAGAGTATTTGTTTTTTATCGTTATTTAAAGGAAATACACGTTCAAATCAGA